GTGCAAAACAAAAAGGGCAGGATAGAGGTTAAGGATTTAAAAGATTTTACTCAAACGTGTTGAAAATATCCCACTTGGAATTAACTGCACTACAGGCAGATAATTGTAAACATAGAACACACCGTGTGCCCGCAAATCAATAGCATGATTCCAGGAGCAGCGATGGTAATGAATTTGATGTTCCCTTGTTTTCCTGTGCAGCCAGGTAACAGAGACATCAGAATGTTACTGGTGGTTTCTTTTTTCTTTTATGCCTATTGCATTTATCTAGTCATAGAATACACATACCATCCAATAAGTAAATAGAAAACAAATCTAAAAATTATCGTAAATCAAATCAGAAAACACAGAGGGAAAGCCTTATTTCTGGACAGGTGAATGTAAGAAATAAGCTCAGAAATACGATAGATTTCAAATCTGCGATGCTCTTTCTCTTGCTCTACTTACAAGGTGCTCACAAGCAGTAAAGAAGTAACTCACTGGACAAAAAAGTGATGAAAAAAAAGGGGGGGATTAAAGATGGCAGCGGGCTGAGTGGAAGCTACACTGACACTCTCCCGGGACCAACCTGGAATGGCAACACTATCATTCAAAATAGATTGTGAAATAAAGAGCTTCCCAGACAAACAAAGGCTAAAGGAGTTTATCACCACCAAACCAGCATTGCAGGAAATGTTAAAGGGACTGCTGTAATAATAATAAGAAATAGAGAGAGAAACATAGGCATAAAGAATTCAAATGGCAATAAATAAGGACCTATCAATAATAATCTTAAGGACTTTAAAGAGGAGATTGACAGCAATAGAGTCATAGTTGGGGACTTTAACACCCCACTGACTTCACTGGATAGGTCTTCTGGACAAAAAGTCAACACAGAAACAGTGACTCTAAATGACACACTAGATCAGATGGATTTAATTGATATTTACAAAATATTTCACCCCAAAGCTGNAAATGTTTCACCCCAAAGCTGCAGAATATAAATTCCTCTCAAGTGCACATGGGACATTCTCATAGATAGACCACGTTAGGACACAAAATAAGTCTCTACAAGTTCAAGAAGACTGAGATCATATGAAGCATCTCGGACCATAATGGCATGAAATTAGAAATCAACTACAGTAAAAACACTCAAAAACATTCAAACACATGGAAGCTAAATGGCATGTTATTAAACAACAAGTGGATTATCAATGAGATCAAGAAAGAAATAAAACTTCCTGGAAACAAATGAAAATGAACACACAACCCAAAATCTATGGGACACAGCGAAAGCGGTCCTGAGAGGGAAGTTCATAGCACTACAAGCCTACCTTAAAAAACAAGAAAAATTTTAGTAAACTCTCTAACCCTACAACTTAAAGAATTAGAAAGCTCCCCTGTGAAGCTGTCCAGACCAGGGCCTTTGTTGCTGGGAGTTTTTTGATTACTGCTTCGGTTTCATCAGTCATTATTAGCCTATTCAGGTTTTCTGATTCTTCCTGATTCAGTTTTACACAATCTCACTCATATGTGGAATCGTATAAATAAAACAGACTGAGGAACAAAATAGATCCAGAGGCATAGAAGCATGGAACAGACTGATGAATCTCAGTGGGAAGGCAGAGGTGGGGGAGTAGGTGGGGAGGGATTAATCAGAGGACTTATATGCCTATATTCATAACCCATGGACACAGACAATAGTGTGG